TTGAGTTGTGAGCCACCCTGAGTCCCCTTCGGGGGGAAAAGGGCGGCATATAAATAAAATAAACATTCAACATTCAACATTTGGCTAAATTTCCTCCTTGGTTAATGATGTCTTCTGCCGTTGCAGAGTGAGAAGTATGTGTTCACTCTGGAGCCCTCGCTCTGGAAGCGTGGCTCAAGAAGAAGGGAAGACATGGGCAGAGTGAAATGCATTGGGGAGGCATAGTGTGGAAGATAGTTTTCTTAAAAAAGGACAGGGAAGGGATGGGAAAGAAAAGGGGAAGGGATTCCCCGCCATTCAGTCAGAACTGAAGAAGCTTCTTGGATGAGAAGAGAAAAAAACAAAGAAAGTCCATTTGCCTCTTGAGATAGCACCATTGGGGAAAGGAAAGGAAGTAAACAGATGAAGCAAGGAAGAGAAGAGAAGGGGGAAAGGAAAGATAAGGAAGGGAAGGAAGGAAGTAGGAAGGAAAAGGGAGAAGAAAGGAAGGGAAGAAAGAAGGAAGGAAAGGGAGAAGGAAGGGAGAAGGAAGGGGGGGAAAGGAAGGAAAGATGGAAAAGGGAGAAGGAAGGAACAGACAGAGGAAGGAAGGAAGATGAGAAAAAGGGAGCCGGGGGAAGAATGGTGACTTTCCCTCAAGAGCAGCCAGTGATTTATAATCTCAGCAGGCGTTTTTCAAACTCCCCTCCCTCCCTCCCTCCCTCCCCAGGTCCTCTGCATCCACCTGAAGCGCTTCCGGCACGAGGTCATGTACTCTTTTAAAATCAACAGCCACGTCTCCTTCCCGCTGGAGGGCCTGGACCTCCGGCCCTTCCTGGCCAAGGAGAGCATCTCCAAAGTCACCAACTACGACCTCCTCTCGGTCATTTGCCACCACGGCACGGCCGGCAGTAAGTCGCCTTCCTCCGCGTCCTTCGGCTCCCCTGAGCGGAGTTACGGAAGCAGGGCGCTGGGTCAGGGCCCCGCGCCAATTCTCGGCCTCTCGGTCCTAGGTGGACATTACATTGCCTACTGCCAGAACATGATCAACGGCCAGTGGTACGAATTTGACGACCAGTACGTGACGGAGGTGCACGAAACGGTCGTGCAGAACGCCGAGGCTTATGTCTTGTTTTACAGGTGAGGGTCACCTTGTCCGGGGAGTCCTCGACTTACAACTTACAATTGAGCCCACCACCACACTATCTCCGGGTGATTGGCCCAGAGTCACCCAGCTGGCTTGCACGCCTCAGGCGGCACTAGAACTCACTGCCTCCTGACCCAAAGGCGCCAGGCTGACTTTCATGCCTCACCGTCTCCCGGTGGTCGGTCCAAACTCGCCCAGCCAGCTTTTATGCCTAAGGCGAGACTAGAATTCATCGCCTCCCACTTTCTAGCCCTGGTGCCTTTTCTACAGGACCAAACTCTTCCGCCTCCTCTTGTTTCTTTCCAAACGTCCTATAGAAAAAGCAGCGAGGAGGCTGTCCGGGAGCGCCAGAAAGTCGTCTCGTTGGCCACCATGAAGGAGCCCGGCCTGCTGCAGTTTTACATCTCCCGGGAATGGCTGAACAAATTCAACACCTTCACTGAGCCCGGGCCCATCAGCAACCACATCTTCCTCTGCTCCCATGGAGGTGAGGGGGTGCTGCATGTGTTGTGACCTGCCAGCATCCAGCAGAGTCGGACAGTGGGGAGGTTGGGGAGGAAGCTGGGCCAGTCCTGGAGTCTGGGGAAGGCTCTGGTGATGAGGGCTTCGTGTCGGAGGCAGAGAGGGGGGGTCAGAGCCGTATGCCAGTTATCAGCTGCCTTTGGAGTCAGACATCAGTGGGGCAGAAGAGCAGCTGGAGCCTCTTCCCAGTGTGCGCATTATGAAGTGAATCCAGCTTCCCCATCGACTTGGCTTGTCGGAAGGTCACAAAAGGGGATCACGTGACCCCGGGGCACTGCGACCGTCATAAATATGAGTCAGTTGCCAAGGGTCTGAATTCTGATCACGTGTGACCACAGGGACGCTGCAACGGTCGTAAGTGTGAAAAACAGTCATAGGTCACTGTTTTCAGTGCTGTTGTAACATCAAATGGTCACTAAATGAATGGCCGTAAGTCAGGGACTGCCTGTGGCAAGGCATAATAGCACGGTCGGAGGTGGGGCAGAGGTAGATTTAGGGAGCTGCACGTCATCCCACCTTGCTTCTAGAATTAGTCCTTGGCTTACGACCACAATTGAGAACGGGATTATTCGTCATTAAGTGATTTGGTCATTCAGCGAGGCACCACGTGACCCCACCCAATTTTACAACCTTTATTCATTTTTGCTTGTCCGAAGCCAGCTGGGAAGGTCATAAGTAGAGATCAGGTCATTCTTCTAGGCCGCTACAATCGTCGTAACTGTGAGCCGGTTGCTCACATAATTGTGGGATCACCACAGCAGTCATAAGTGCGAGAACTGGTTGACAGTCATATTTTTCAGTTCTCTTCTCAGCCTCATTCTTAACTCTCTCTCTGGTTTTATCTTTCCCCATAGGAATTCCACCAAATAAATACCATTACATTGACGATCTGGTGGTGATTCTGCCCCAGAATGTCTGGGAATACCTGTATAACAGGTAAGGAGTTTCCTCTTCCAGCGGTTCAGCCACTGCTGGGAGTGACTGTACTTTTCCTCTTGGTCTCCTATCCCTCCCCAGGAGAAGAGGACAAGCTCAGAGCCTTAGCCACTGAGCCACCTACTACAATTCTAACTGCAGTCAATATATGCAGAAGTTGAGGACTTCCTATCTAACCCTCCAGCGTTCTCTACGCCTCCTGGTCTCCGGAGTGGCCAGACCCAGGAAAATCCACCTTGTCGGTCCGGAATAGAGGATCCCTGCAGGGATTCGATCCCAGAACCCAAGGCGCCATTTGGTTCAGCACCTGGTTTCTTTCCATGCTCAGGTTTGGGGGTGGCCCAGCCGTGAATCACCTGTACGTCTGTTCGGTGTGCCAGGTGGAGATTGAAGCGCTGGCGAAGCGGAGGAAAATGGAGATCGACACCTTCATCAAGGTAACGTCCCCCGTCCCCCCCCCCGTCCCCCCTGGCTGGCCTGGTGCGATTGGGAGTCCCGGCGGCCGGTTCAACGGGAGAGGCTGGCTGGGTTTGCAAACGGCCCCCTCCCAATTTAAAAAAAAGAGAATTCGGAACCTGGAAAGGGGGTTCCGGAATATGCAGACAACAGCCTAGGGTTACCCCAAAAAGTGTACACTTAACGACCACAATTGAACCCAAAATTCCTGCTAAGTAAATTTTGTTCCAAAGGGCAGTCAAAATAATTACAAATGGTGCCCAGGAGCCGAGATTTATGCATTGATTGCCCCAAAAAGCAGATTTAAGAGTTTTAATGGCTCTGTTGGGGCAGTTTTCTGCACTTTGGGAGTCTCCCCAATGGATGAGATTTTTTGGGGGGGAGCCTTTATAAATCCTCAGTCAGGCCACACCTGGGATAAATGGGGCATCCAGTGTTGGTCCCCGCATGACAAAGAATTAGACTTTGGAAAAAGTGCAGAGAAGAGCAAGGAAGGTGATTAAGGGGCCAGAGATAAAAATATATGAAGAATGGTTGCAGGAATTGGGTATGATTAGTCTGGAGAAAAGAAGGACTGGGGGGGACATGGTAGCAAGTCTTCCCGTATTCGAGGGGCTACCGCAGAGAAGAGGGGGGTCAACCTATTCTCCAAAACACCTGAGGGTAGAACAAGAAGCAGTGGATGGAAACATCAAGGAGAGAAGCAACTGGAATTAGCAATAGCAGTTAGGCTTATATGCCGCTTCATAGGGCTTTCAGCCCCCTCTAAGCGGTTTACAGAGTCAGTATATTGCCCCCAACAACAATCCGGGTCCT